CAGTTAAAATGAAGTTGGAGGGTTTTTAAATAGATTATAAGTAAGTAGAATAGAAACAGAGTTTTCCTTAAACTAGACTGTTACAGTCCTGAGCACTGAATGAAATACTGGATTTAATAACAAAGATTTATCTTTTTTAAAAGCTAATGATATTGGGAAAGTCTTGTTCTTTAGTTTTGCTGACTTTTCCAAATGTGAGAAAACTGTTCTGTTTCTAACTTCAGTAGATCGACCTCTAAAATAATTAGAAATTTGAAAATTACTGCAATTCCATGAATACCTTAACTTAGTGTAATACCTCTGCATTTGTATATATGCACCTAAATCTGGTTTTAATACCTTAATAGTTGCTACGGCAGAACTGACTTACTAATTCCAGAATTTGTGATGAAATTGTGCAAGTTCTGTTGTTGTTTCTCAAAGAACAGTGAATTTTAGAAATTTTACTTAACTCTCGCTTGTTTCAGCTTTGACAATCTTGAAATCACAATACTTGCTCTAGTTTTGTTAGCTCTCACTGTATCGGTTTAACTGTAGCACTTAGTTTCAGGGCCTAAGAGAGACAGAAATCTAGTTTTGGTGGTTACTCTGCTGAAACAGAAAAAAAAAAGTAAATTATATTTTAGTTTACTGATTTTTTGGGAGGACAATGTCCTCAGGATAAATACACCGAAAGAAATGGGAGTGCTGCTTTTATTTGATGAGGGCATCAGTTAGGATCACCATGTGAATAATAAGCAAAAAGTTTAGAGAAGAGTGTGTCTCTGTGTGTGTCTGTGTGTGTGTTTTGGAAGGTAGGGGTGTTTGGTGGCAAGGGTGATTGATGAAGAAAGGAAAGTGAGCAATGATTAAAAGTAACAAGTGGAAAGTAGTAGTGAATTGAGATAAGCAGAAAAAAGCATGTCATTGTTCACCATCTCATTGACCTAGGAGCTTGAGTCTGTACACATTCCATATGCATGTAATGTTTTATTACCTGAGAACCTGAATAGATTCTGTGTAATTAAAAATGTTGGATTGATTATTTTTTTTTTTTTTTGTTTTAATTGGGTAATCTGGGAAAAAGTGTGTTTGGAGAGATATGACATGACTGACATAGCTGTCAGCTGAAGAAATGTTTGAATAACCACATATTATCAGCAGTATTCGATAAATAAAGGGGATGTATTACTTCGTGTAGGATTTAAAATAGTATTTCTCTTTTCATCAGTTTTTAAGCTTTGCAAGCTTTTCACTTTGCTTTGAATATATACCATGTTTTGGGATGAGTAGCTATTCTGCAGCACCTAATATAGTGTGTGTAGGTGAAGTGGTACAATACTTGTTTTGAATCGTTCTGTCCTTCCTTCACTATATAATTATTAGAAATTGTCATTCCTAGGAAATGAAGTATAGTTAATTTAAAAATAAATAAATAAAGACTTCATATAGTTGACATAAAATTTATATTTGTTTTTCCATCTTCAGTATGCAGATTTGGTTCACCTTGGCATATTGCATCTGCAGCCAGATTCAGGTTTATTTAATGAAACTGCTGACTAGCTACTAATTTGGAACCTTTTGAAATTTTCACTAGGAGCTGGTCTGCCTGATTCTTCAACAGTCTTTTGATTTAGCTTACTCTTAGTCGCTGTTTCAGTAATTGTTGCCACCTAACATTTTTATGCTTTGCAGTTTCAGAATGGCAAACTGGTAGGTAAAAAAGCAGTGATGTTTCTTTCTTGCATGCTAGTACCACATCTAAAATGTTGTAGGTAGCTATTTGCTTGCTTGATTTTAATTGTTCTGCTTCAAAAGGTCCCCTTGGGACAGTTCTTCGAATTTATCTGTAGGATATGTGCACAGGAAAGACAGCAGTGTCTTGGGGCACAAATATAAAAATATTTTGATCCTGGGGTAGTTTTTTTCAAACAGAGCCACAGACAGCAGCGTTCAGTAATGACGTATCTTTCTATTGCTAATACGTTTAAAAAAGAAAGTCTATACAGCGTGTGTGAGAAAAAACTAATTCCAGCAATCAACGCAGGAATATCTATCTACATGAAAAATCATGAGTCTCATTTATGAATACCTGGCCCATACAATCTTGTGGTGGTGTTGTATTTCAGGTATCCAATTATGATGAATGATATTTGATCCTATTATTATAATTTATTATTTCAACCTAGAGAAGCAAAACTCGATGGTAGGGTGGGATTCTCAGGAGGGTGGGATTCTCTGGCCAAACTATGTTTGGTTCGAAGTCACTGAGAGTTTCACTGTTGATTTTTGTGGGAGCTGGGTTAGGTCACTGCACAGTACTTTTGAAATCCCACCTCTAACTATTTCTGAGTTGAGTGTGTGATTATTTCCTCGCAGGGAGGAGTCCATCACCACAGCCTTCCAAAAACACAGGTGACATGCATCGGTCAAAATACCATATTCCAGTAACTTTAACCATCTCCTGCCTCAGAAGCTTTATTAATAAGGTTAACAGGCTGATGCTGAGCACTTGTGAGCACAGTAGTGAAAAGTGCACTGTGGGCTTCACTGGAAATTGTAAGTGCTGAAGATGCCCAGGATCAGGCTTTGGATGAGCCATTCAGTACCATGTGTGGTCTCTCACAGGCTAGTTTCGTGATTGCTTTCAGTAGTTGGAACTAGCCAGGCATGACAAAAAAAGAACACTGTGGGTCTTAAACTTGTCCTGGTGCTACTTCTGCTTTTAAAGTGAACATTATCTGAAAGTCCCTCTACACTCAGCCTGTGAAAAGCACTCAGCATGTGCCATAGCTTCTGAAATCTGCGGAACAACTTGCTGGAGGAGCGAACCTTCTGGCATACTGTGCTCCAGAGTTAGCCTATCTCCTACCCTCAATTTTCAATTTTTCGGTGGCATGGAGTTGCGGAAAGAATAGCATGTAAATTTACTTTCGGGTCACAGGCCCTCATTTTACTGGAGTGACTCACTTGAAGTGATATTAGTGTCCGAGGTAAACCTCTCAGATGTGTCATGCAAGGTGCTTATTATCGTAATTAATCTGTCACAATATAATTCTCATCCTTGGCTCAGCAGCGTATCAATATATGTATTACTGCTACATTGTCTTTCTAAATGAATGTGTCTGTGCAAGCTGTTGTGCATCAACCTGTGGCTGTGGAGCCATCCTGGTTTCCTACAATAGGCATCCCTTTTCCTCATACAAGGCAAGAGGGACTGTTGCTTGCTGATGGTGTTGCTTCTGGCCACAGGCTGCTTTGGGTTCCAAACTGACTTCATTCTTATTCTCTCCCCTTGGCTGCATTTTGCCATGCAGCTCTCATGCAGAATGCCACATGTGGTGTCCCTGGCTTGATGGTGTCCTGATGGCGCCTTCTCCCTTCTCAGGCGCTGCTGCTTCTTCATCTCATGCTAAGCATTGTCTGCAGAGCCTTCCCCACTCTGACTCTGCCTTCCCCAAACCAGAAGGGCATAGACAGAGGCAATTCTTCTCTGGCTGTGGCATGCTGGGGGTGGACTGTGAGGAAGACTGGTAAAGCATGTTGGGGACAGGGGAGGCTCTTAAATCTGTGTGGCTATGAAGAAGATACTGTCTTGAAGGGGTTCTACTGGGTTGAGAAAATAATTGGTGCCATGTGTAAGCAGTGATGAAGAGATGGGGTAGAGGTATCACCACAACCTTTCTGACACAGTGACGAAGTTCATGCATCTTGCAGAGGATTAACATGGTGATGTGTCATGGTGCAGGCGTCAGGATCTCTTATAAAAGGGATTGCTCTTTGGTGTGAGATAGCAAGTGAAGAAGCCAAGTGTGTGTAGGGGAAATAAAGAGGGCTTTCTGAGCCAGCAAAGCAAAGGTGTTGGAGGCGGTGCTGCCTCAGGTAGCCATCACGCTCAAGCAGTGAAAATTCCTCCCCTCCTCCAAGCTGGCAGATGAAATGCCTGGTAGGTACATGTTGTGTTCCACCTCGTTGGCAAAGGATCTCTTGTAGATAAATGTGTGACGTTACATGTGTGGTGTTGAACATGTGGGGTTATTACAGGGGTGTGCATTGTTACAAAAAGATAAGGTAAGGTGCGATTTATGGTCACCCTTTTGCTTGAATTCTTATCTTTACAAGTGCATCTGAGAATCTGTAACTCTGCATCTGAGATAATTCTAAAGAGTTCCAGTGAATGGTTTAGTTTTTGTGTGACTGAGCTGCAAGTTGTATTCTTGGAAGTCCTATTTGAGAAGTCAGCTAAATATGCTTTCAGAACTGTTCTGTTTCTTAACAGTCATAGGAGCAAAGCAAGCTTTGAAAATAAAATGACAGTTAAAATGAACGTTGACAATGCAAAGCAGTAGAATATGAGTATAGTGTTGTTTTAAATATACCCAGTAACATTTTTTAATATATCAAAAATGGTTATCTAACTTCCCTAATTGATCTCGTAACTTATGATAGCTGACTAAGAAAGACAGGCTAACATTGTGGAAGAGAAGTATGTTTTATGGTTGTCCTTCTTGAAGATTCCCCCCCCCAAAAAAAAAAAAAAAAAAAAAAAAAAAAACAAAATCCATACCACAAACATGTTTTTTCTTTGAAATGCATTTTATTTGGTTTATCATCTTTAAAGAAAAATTATTGCATGGGATCAAAAGAAGCATCTGTTCAGAGAAAGGGGAGGGCAGGAGAACATGTAATTTAGTTTTACTAGAAATGTTAGAGCAATTATATTTTCAGAAGGAGGTTTAGACCTTTTTAATAAAGATGCTTCTGTTTTAAAAAGCTCACTATTTGGTCTTGGGAGAAGAATGACTAAGCACTATGTGCTGGTGTCTTAGCAACAAAGGTGATGTGAAAAGAAGTGGTTTAAAATCTGACTGTATAGAGACAATCTGTGCACGTGTAAATGATAGTGTTGCTGCCTAAAAGTCATTAATATTGCATCAGTCTAGAGCAGGACTTGTCCCTGAGTAGATAAATGTGTTTAACCTGAATCTTTTCTTCTCATGCCTTTTTGCTACTTCTTACAGGGAATGAAGTATCTGTGCATTCCTGCTGCTGACTCACCCTCGCAGAACTTGTAAGTTTTCTTTAAAAATAAATCACAAAACCCCAGAAATCCCCTAGTACTGTGATGCCTGTTTTACAATTTGCCGAAAGATTTGATTACACAAATGTGGTTTTCCATCACTTAAGAAAACACAGTAACACTTTATTTCAGCCTCCTTTTTGTGTGTAAGGTTTGTAGGAGTCTCAGTTTGTAAACACTTTTCATTTGTGGCCTTAAACTTCAGGAATTCCCTAGTGAATCTGCTCCTAATTCAGTGCCAGTTTATTCTAGCCACTGTTTTTGTAAGTCTTTTTGCTTGGCTCCTCGTTTTTGTTAGTGCTATCTCCAGCCATTAACAAAAAGAAAATATTTGAAAGAGGTGTGAAACCTGGTGCTTCAAGGGCTGAAATAAATTCCTCACAGTGAGCCTCCAAAACAAAGTCCCAGTGTGCAAACTACCCCGGCAACTATCTACTCTGGACTTCTTGAACCTGCCTCAGAAGTCCCTGCTGCCCTTAGTAGTTAAGCTGGCATGGCAGGGAGTTTCTGCCCTGCAGTGATTCTTACCTTGAGGATTTATGTACTGCAACTAGGGTGTCCCAGCCTTGCTCTTTCTCATCCCTGCTAACGTTCACATAATGGTCATTTCTTTCCCTTGGTTTTAATTGAGCATAGCAAGTCTTGATTCCAAGGAGAAACCAAAACAAGAGAACTTGAATGGTGACCAGCTCTTTCTTCTAGAGCTCACTGTTTATTTTTGGGGAGAGGTGAGGGGGGTTTCAGCCACATCCTGCTACCAAGTTTTGTAGAGAAACAAATAGTTGAAAGAGGCCTGGTAGGTACGGAAGGAAATGCAGCACTGCTTTTCTCTCATATCACAGCAGTATTCCGGCTCATGCTTTCAGGGGATATTTTTAGAGTACGTGTTTCTCATAATCTAGAAAGATTCCAGTGTGGCACTTGATGTGTGATGATTTGCCTTTTCATTCTGCATTTCTGTCATGATTTTAGGGTAAGGGAAAAAAAAAAGGCACCACACCCTTACCCCCAATAAAAACACCCAAACCCTTAAATTTCAAGACAGGTCTGTAGTGAGAAGGCAGATAGCTAACTGCCTTTGTCATGGACAGCTTCCATGGCCTTAATATTCAAAATTAATAAAAATAAGTAAACGTAAAAAAAAATCCTTATGAGAAGGAAAACAAATATGAAATTAGAGGGAAACATTCACATGCTGGCATTTTGAGGTCTGTGACATTTCTGAAAACGTTTTGCCAATCTGCTTCCTTTGTTAGAGATGTGGATTGATTGGGAATAGAAAGAGAAAGGATGGCATTTATTATGAATGTTAATCAGTGTACAATTCAGCTCCTCTCTCACTATTAAATATCAAGGAGTTACATTGAAAAACCTCCTGTGTTTGAGCTGTCTGGCGCAGTAACAAGGCTCTTAAAGCTTCAGTAAGAAGACAGAATATTTGCATGAGTATTGTTTCTGTTATGCTGCAGGCATCTAAAATACTTGCTTTGGTATCAGGTGGTTGCAAGCAAACGTCATTACTTCTAATACTGATACATTCTATCACTTAAAATAAAACTTGATGAGTAACCTATTTTTCTTTTTTTTGTTGCTTTAGACAGTCCAGGTCTTCAAGTCAAATCAAATCATGATGCTCACAAATAGCAACGTTGCTTGCTTTGCACATACAGTCTTCTGAAAGCAAGAGGAAGCTGCCTTTGATCAGCCTGTGAGGACTGGGCACAGTCTTATCTAGGAGGGGTTAACCATATTGCCTGTGCCCACTGTGCAGGGAGGGATAGCTGGGGAACAGGAAAGGGAATTGCTCCCTCTGCAACATCTTTTGCGTATCTACCCTTTTCTTTCGGAAAAAGGGATTCTGCTGGTGTCAGGAAAAAACCCAAACAACTGAAGCAGCACCCTGTATTACAGGTCCATGTGTTCTCTTAGCAGTGGTTGACAGGCATAACTGACCAGATACACACTGCTGTTTCCCAACAGCAAGCTTGTCAGAAGCTTTGCTAATTCTTTGCTAGCAGGTTGATGACGTCCAGCTGGAAGCCTTTACCCACTGAATTTTGGGACTGTGAGCTCTTAATGCACTTCAGCATAGTTTTTGTGAAGGAAACTTCTGGGTTTTTATGCGCATTTACTCCTAGTAAGCTTGTTTAGTGGAGTTCTCTTCCTCAGAAGGATGAATTGCCAGGGAAATACAGCAGGGATTCCCCTGTTAGCATGTGAATGTCCACTGAAGCGTCTCAAAAGCTTGATTCTACTCCCTTGTTCTGCCCCTACCAAGCACAGGAAGCAAGTAGTTGCTTTTGAGACTCAAGGTGTTTCCTAGATATTAAAAATCAGTGTTTTCCCTGGTCTGTGAAAATTTTACCTTGGGCCAGTGGCTGCTCCAGAAATGTCATCTCCTGTAGAACTTGTCGCTAAAAAGTAAATTCTGTAGAAATTAAATCTTCCCTTCCTGCCCTGTTCCAGTTAATTGTCTTCAGCTTCGCATTTCTAAGGAATTAACCTCCAACAGTCAGGCAATTAGTGGTGATAATACAGAAGCCAGATGACCTATTAAGAGAAGGAAATTTTGGTGGATTTTTGTTGCATTTAGGTTACCAAAGGAAAGAAACATCAAGATGATTTGTCCCATCTGATTTGGATGCTCTCTTTTTAACCTTCATAAATACTTGTAAAAGTCCGACTAGCAACAAATGAAAATAAGCTCTGGCATCATAGCTCTGCGCTCGATCTAGTTTTGGATTATGCAGCATGCTAATGTGTAAGTTTAGGTAACCTTTACAGCATGCTGATAGGGGCATTGTACTGGTGGTTCTTCCTGTGGTGTTTTCCCACTGTGAAGATGATGCAGTTCAGGATGCGTTAAGCTGGGAGATGTGAAAGCCAGATATCATGTAATAAATTGTCCTGAAGTCCAACAAATAGGCTGCAAATCAACACATTTGTCAAGTGCTTTCCTGTTAGAGATGGTAATCAACTGTTTTGTGGTTAATGTAAGACTTGACATTCTTCTTTTCGTCTGGCATTCGCCACACAGCTAACTGGTCCTCAGTTTTCATGTAAATATGGTTTTACCATAACTTTGAAAATGAGTTTAGGCAACTGTGTCTGCTGGCTCCAGAAGAGTCCCTGATGCCATAGGGTTGTGGAGGAGTACATTTCTCCTCTTCTCTGATTCAAGGTGAGGAGGGGCTGTGGTTCTACAGAACAGCGCTAATTCTAAATGTGACTGTTTGTCTTCTTGTTTTCATGAATGCCTGTAAACACACTTGACAGCGTTTCAGCAGCCCAAGCATCAGCAATAAGAAAGGGCAAAAAAACCTGAGTGGATGTAGTTCACTATGTTTAATACCTTGCAAAGCTGTTATGCTCAGTCACAGATATTTTTCAAATCAAAGCGCTGAAATGTCTAACCAAAACTTGTGCTAGACCACTGAAGCGAATTCACTGGTGCTTGAAGCTGCCCTCATGGCCAGATTTTCTAGAGAGAAAGAGAAAAGACGGATGTCTGAGACGATTGGGATGTTGTCAATACAGACCTAACCAAGTTGCATTTGACTGAATTCTTGCAGTCTCAGCTAAGTGCTCCTTCTTTGTGCAATAGCAATGCTTCTTGCACACACAGACAGACATCTCCTTTGTCCCCTGAGTTCGTTTATGTGAAGCCTCTTGTGCTCCCCTGGTAGACCTGAGCACCATGATTTGTTAGAACTCAGCCAGCGAAAGTGTTTTGGAGTGGCAGTCTGAGTACAAATGCATTTGTAAGGCTTTGTCTGTCTTCACTAATCCCACATACTTCATCTGTCCCTTGAGAAACATAAAACCCTGAGTTGCCATGCTGTCCTAAAGCTTGGGATTGCGTGGTGCCTTGAGATTTTCCAAGTAAGTTGCTCAGATCTTCTCCAGCTATGCTCTCCATGTTGTATCCAGTGATGCAGGGGCTGCCTTGGAGAGGGAGTCCTGCGCTTTGGGATCCCTGTTTTGTGATATCCCAGCTTTAGGTATCATTGCCTTTGCAAGTTCCACAGGCAGTGTCACTATTGCATCAGTGTTGTCCTCCAGGTCTTGAGTGTTTATAGTAGCAGCAGCTGCACTGTTAGGCAGGAAAAGGAGCTTCCTTTTATGTGGGTATTCCTGATTTTTGTGTGGCTGCTGGTGCTGGGCTGAGGTTTTTTTGTTTTACCCTTGTGGTATAATATTCACCCAGAGAGGGGAAACATCTTGAATGCAGGACGTTGTGTTTCATGGGTGTTGAGCGCAATATGCTTTCACGTTTGCCTTTGCTAATAACCCTAGTAATGACTGCCCCTTAAGAACCTCTTTCCTCTGTCCACATTGCTCACATTGCTACTGCTTGTGAGCTTGAATTGCAAGAGCACTAAGAGGCCAAAATGACATCCAGCTCTGTTGAACTAAGGTGCTGCTTGCACCTGCAATAAAACTGCAGGCAGTGCCAAAGGCTTTGCAGTCAGAATGGCAGGGTGAGCAACTTGTGACTGGGATGCAAAGAAGCAGTGCTGCATGCTTACTGAGGTGATGACAGCTGCCCAGTTGTTATCCTTCAGACTTGTCCCACTTATAATGAAGGAGCATATGTAAAGGATAATGAGATTACACACCTTAAGGTTTGTAAACTGAGTCTTCTCTACATTTTCTCCTCTGTTGCTTTAAAAAAGGTAAGCTGTATGCAGGGATTGGCTGACACCCTGAATAAGGGCAGGCAGAAGAAGTACTGCTGTCCGAGAGGAGAAAATTCGAAGGACCTGAAGAAACCAGGGCTTGAATTGAGCATTTTTTCATAGCAGGGACAACAGGGAGAGATTTCATGTTGCAAAGAAGAAAGGCCTAACATTTGGATGTGTTCTAGCACATGGTTTGAAGGAGGAGGTAAAGGCAAAGTTAAGTGTCCGTTTGGGCAGCGAGTAGTCTCTCTTTGTGAGAGACAATATGAGAACTATTTGTGTAGTTGTGCTGAGATCCATCTGACATCTGGGCATATGTGCAGACACATGAGGTCAAGTCGCTAGTTTAAAGAGGAATAAAACACAAACCGAAATACAGATTTGACAGTCATCAGAACAAAGTGTTTGTTAATGTTATCACACTGTAGTGCCTAAAATATTGGTTTCTTATTCAGATAGAGTGGAGAATAGCTATGCCAGTGAGTTTTGTGTTTCACTGGCAGACACTAACTTTTACTTTGTATGACCTGTATTCAGTTCTGAATTCTAGAAACATTGTTGAGCTTTCAGATATATTTCTCTCTTTCTAAGTAGTGATTTTACTAAATAGATCACTTTCTTTATTCCCCTTCTGCTTTTGTTTTCAGAGCAAGGCATTTCAGAGAGAGCATCAAATTTATCCATGAGTGCCGGCTCACAGGTGAAGGCTGCTTAGTTCATTGGTATGTATACGCTTCCTACAAAAAAATTTTAAGGGTTTCTCTACCTTGATTTGAATGCTCATAATTTTAATAAGTTAGTGAAATGCTCCCTTTATTCAAAGAGCCTCAGAAGATTTGCAAATGCTATTAAAACCTCATGTTAGGACTTTTGAGTCTCTGGAGTGGGCAGCTGCCTAGAAAGAAAAGGAACCCAAGAAATTTTTCTTCACCATCTCTTATCAAACATTTTTGTAGGATTAATTTGACTAGGAATGTGTTGACTGGAGACATATTACTTATTTCCCATTATTTTAATTGCTGTATTTCTAAATGTTATTTCCATAATCCTAATAATTTGATTAGTTTCTCTAACAGCTATTTTGAAAACTTCAGAATTGTTAAAAAAATCTCCTCTGAAGAGAAATTGAATTTTTTTCCTCTTTTTTTTTGTCTTTAAACTGCTGAAGCATTTAAATGTTGCATTTGTTAATAGCAAGTATCTGATTGGAGATATGCTCCCGGGACTGTAGAGAATAGAAAAGGAAATCCCACCCCGGGGTTTTTTCTTGCTAACTGCTATTGGTTGTAGTCTTTGTGCTGTATGTCCAAGTGACATATCTGAGTCTATATCTGGAATCAGAGTCATCTTGTGATTTGAACACTGGTCTTATACACAGGCCTTGAGCATAAATCCTCACTTTGCTATTGACTTATGATAGGGCATGAGCCATTTGGTCAGTCTTGGTGTATGGGAAATAGGAATAAGTAGTTTGAATTCTGATGCAATTTTGAAAAACATATATTTAAATTTGTGAAGATTTCAGAAACATAAAATGTTTTTGACATGCCAAGTGAAAGAGTCTGTAACTCTTTTTACTCTGGTAAATGTAACTCAAACACATTTTTTATACTCACAGTAGTAAAAGTTCCAAGTTTGTCCAGTGCTGTCCAACCAGGCATAATGAACGATTCTTACTCTATCCCAGCATTTCATATGGGGAAACTGGAGTCCTGAGAGTTGAAGGTGCACAGTTGCAGTGGATAGCAGAAAGAGGAACTCAAGCAGCCAGACACATGTACTTTTTAACGGTTCAGTTAAAGTTCATTTTGGCCCCATGAAATTGAAGCCTTTATTCATGATGGAGAAGGAACAGTATTATTTCACTGCTCTGATCTATATAAGCAGAAGAAAGAAAGTGGGTGACTTATTTCTGCCTTATTAAGAACCAAATCTAACTTAAAATGTGTGCATTGTCCCCTGCTTTTGTGAAGACTTCGTGTTTATTTCTTCCTTTTCAGTCTCTCATGAATTACCACTCAGAATCCACTTTCTCAATCATGTTGTAGATTCGTTCTGCTACATTTGAAAAAGCAGCGCCAAAACTATATAACTCAAATATTTTAATATTTCTTCCTTGTGGCAAGCAACGCAGCACTCTGCTGTGATGTTGAGAAATGGTGCTTTTAACTGTGACAGATGAAGTATAGTACTGCTTCAGTGTATTGCACCTCATTTTTTGTGCAGCCTTGCAGGTGTCTCCAGGAGTGTAACACTGGTGGTTGCCTACATCATGACCATCACAGACTTTGGTTGGGAAGATGCACTGTCTGTTGTCCGTGCAGCGAGATCCTGTGCCAATCCAAACATGGGCTTCCAGAGACAGCTACAGGAGTTTGAAAAACATGATGTTGATCAGGTAAATGAACTACAAACAAGAGTTGTGAAACACAGCTCCAAGTCAGATCATGGGCTACTTTTCATTAGTTTGTGGTCTCTGTGGTTTATCTGACCCTGTTTTTGCTCTGAGGGAGTGGCTTCTTAGCCCAGCCTGCTCCACTGAGGGAGGTACAGATAGAACTGAGAGCATCAAGGAATGCTGGGTGGGAGAAGGGATGAAGCACAGCACCTAAACACCTCCTGCCTGACTGTGCTCTCAATCTAGTGATTGCTTCATATGTGGTAAGACACAATACAAGACTGATGCCTTTAGAGGGGTAAAAACTAAAGAGTGAGTTGCTCAGAACACAGCAGAAAGACCAACCTATAAGTACCAGTTGCATAAAATAGTTGTTTTCCCCACAACACATTCTTGGAATAGTAAGCAGGAAAGAAATCATAATCAGAAGTCTTTGCTATCCAAGAGTTAAACTAGGTTCTCATTATGACTTACATGTTGTGTCCCACTCACGTTCTGTTGCTTAGACAATAAATTTTCTGGTGTATAGGGCAGTCTTAAATCTGACCCTTTTTTTTCTTATTAGCCTTTGAAGGCTTTGTATGACTAGGAGAATTAAAGGAAGAGTAGGACTGCCAAGTGGTTTTCATAAGACAAAAATTAGTTTCTTGCTCCGAAAAAGAACTGTCCCACGCAGAAGACCTGCTCTCTGTGGGTGATTGGTGACTTCCACTTATGTTAACAACCTAGTCTGTCTGCTCCCTTCATTTTCCATTACTCAGCATGTTGCTGTTCTCTGGGCTTTTATGCTTATGGTGCTTATTAAAAATCAACAACAACAGAGGCAAACCAAAATTGGAAAGCAAAATACCTAAGGCAAAGGATGTTGTTTTTTTATTCCATCCCTGTCATTCTGCTGCAGAAAGGTCAGAGTTTAGAAATTACCATTTGTTTTGTATGATGCAGTTTGCAACTGTAAATATTTGCGTTTTTTTAATATTTAACTGAATGTTTCCTGGATCGTTTGGAACTGGTATAAATGGTAGAATAACTGATTTTTAAGAGACAAAAGTCAGAGAGGGACTTTCCAGACTTGTCTCCTTCCTCCCTTACAGTCATTTCTACTCTAATTGGTTTGGTCTAACAGCAATGACAATTAGGGCTGTATGCAAATAGCCTGATAAAGACAGTAACGTCTCTCTTTTTTCATCCACCATGGACGGCGCATTCTGTCTTTTTTCACTGAGGGGGAGGCAGTAGGTTGCAAAAAGAAGTATCCACCTGTATTCACTGGCTGGGCCGGAGTTTCTTACTGTCTCTTAACAGCAACCACATCCTTAGCAGGTGTCTGTTTACACACCTGATTTCAGGGGAATAATGCCATCTGCCAAGGGTGTGAACTTTTTTCAGATTTCAGCAGCATGGGTGTTTTCCTGTGCCACTACAGGGTGATGGTATCCTGTAGACTCTCTGGAATGGTGTCCTTTAGATCTTGATCTTACAGGGTGGGGTTTAGTCACTAGGGTCACAGTATGGTTTGTACCTGTTCCAAACCTCCACTTGGTAGCCTGAGGCTTCAGATTTGACTCAGGACCTTACGATCTTTTACGAATGAGAGGGAGGAACTATGTTGAGGTCTTGTCTCCCAATGTCCTAGCAAATGGTCTTTATGGATCAAGCTGTTCATGAGCCCCAAACAGAACAAAGCTATGAAGGCTAAGGTTTGAAAAATTAATATTTCCCCCTCTGGGACACAACAGCTGGGGGCTGTGTTTACTAGCTGCTTCTGCAGAGAAGTGCAACAAAATTGTCAGGGGTTGGACAGTTCCTGAATTGGAATTGTCCTCAGTTGGACTCAAATTCTCCAGCTGGCAAAGATGTGACAGAGAAGGATGTAAATGTGATTAAGGTCTATAAAACTGAGTGGACAGAGAAAGTGAACATGTGAAACTTCCACTCCTTCCTTTGAGATGGGATTATCAGTTGGCAGGTCCAAATCAAGGAAAAGGAGGGGGAGAGTGTTATACAATATGCACTTATGGAGCTTGTTGACATGCAGATATCTTGTGGGAAAAAATTGTGGGTTTAAGAATGTGATCTCATGACAGAAAAATTAATTTGTTGTTATCAAACACAAAGATACTGCCTCAGACTCTGAAAGCACCTGAGCTGAAAATTGCTGTGGGCTGAGGAAATGGCTAGGGAAAAGGTCCCAGCACTACTGGGACCTTTGCTTGATTCTTGCCTCGGCATTTACATCTGGCTACTCTCATACCAGGATACAGGGCTGGATTGTCCTTCAGCTGGACCTGATACTTCTGTTACCATGTTCAGTCATTCATGTCAGTAACATATACGGTCCTATGCTATAGCTTGTAAAGCTCTTGAACTTTTTCTTCCTAGAGGATATCTTCTGGGATATCTACAGTACATTTTTTACTGCTGGTGTTTGTGAGCTCAGCATCTGTAAGAGTAGTTAATTTCTGATCTTCAAGCTTCTTGCAGCCTGTTGTGACTTGGGCAAGTTGGCTGATCATATTAGCTTCCACACAAATTCATCTTATTGTTTATGTATGCAGCAGGAACAGGGAGATTTTAAGTCCAGGATTTCCTTGCCCAGGTGTTCCTTATTCTGTATTACTCCAGTCAGCCATGCTGTTCCACAAATGTGTCATTTTAGGAGATGTAAGGGATCTCAGTGATTTCAAATATGTTTCCCTGTGCCTATGTATTCTGTGCTGCTATTGAAGGGCATGCAATATTTGGAGTGGTTTTCTGCTTATAATCTTAAAGACTCTGGAAATTCTCTAGGACGGGAAGAAGTATTACTTCTCTATCAATCTTGTGTTATTGTTTCATCATACTGTGTATGTATGTTCAATTTCTGCAGTTCAGGCAGTGGCTGAAAGAAGAATACGGGGAAAACTCTTCTCAGGATCTACAAGAAGCCAAAAATCTTCTGAGCAAATATAAAGAGCAGGCAGAGTTGCATCAGACTACCGGAGGAAGACAGTGGAATAACAACTTCTCATCTGTGCCATCTCTCTCATACAGCAACTACACAACAGAGACCTAATTGTAGGAGGTCGATTTTCTTCTTGCTACCTTTGCAAAACATCTTGCTGTGTTTTCCATCCCATCTTCAAAACTTTCAGCAGTAAACCATGCAAACAGTTGATTTATAGAAAGCTTCTTGATGACATTATGTGTGTGTGTGTATGAGTGTGTTTCACACAGTTTTATAATTCAGGCAGGATCAAGCTCTGTTTATGCCCAGAGACAGGATCCAGTTACTGTGGCTGAGGCAGCTTGTCCGCCAGCCACAGCTGTTATCCCCTTATGCTCATGTTGCCTGGCATTTGGTGTGAGGTTAGCTCAACTCCTCTTGTTGTAGGCTAGCAAAGGGCTTGAAGAAATGAAGTCCGGTGATTCAAGCTGTGGCAGTTTGTTATCTCTGCACTATTAGTGTGGGAAAGATGTTATTGCACCTGAAAAAGGGAACTTAAGTCTGTGTGTCTGCTGCTCCTGTTCACAGTCCATTGGCAAGTAATACTGTGGAGGTGGGTTTGAACTTGAATGCTAGGCTGCAAGCTGGAGCGGGTGAGATGTGAGTGCACGTACCTTTCTACAAGCAGTAGCATCTAGGAGAGAAGTGGGACAGACAGCTCTGAGTAATAACACCTTCAACTGCCACAGTCATACTTGCTTCAGTGCACGTGAGACGGGGCTGTCGGTAGAACTGCCACAGACCAAGAGCACCGAGCCTGTTACCACAGCTCAGCTGATGTGCAGTGATTTAAGCCATGGTCCCTTGACTGTGCATCTGGTCTCCCAACATAAGCTTCTCTGGAGAACAGCTTATCAGGTCTCCAGTGCCACTGAACTTCATTCCCCATGGAGCACGTGCCTCTTCACACACCCCTGCGCACATGATAACGTGTCTCCAGAGTGGGCTCAGTGTGAGTGCGAGCACCTGTTTCTTTGCTTGTGCTGTGGTTTGCTCTTTGACTTCAGCTACCTCAAAAACGCTGTTCTTGTCATTGTGGTTGTAAATGCAACCTTGATAATTGCCTTGTGTAATCTTAATCTGACACGGAGTGAAGTAAGTGGGTGCGTGAGTGTGAGTGTGCGTGCGCATGTATATTTCACAAATGTCTGTATTTGAGAAGTTTATTGTTTTCTTTTAAAATTGCCCATATTTCTCACTGGTTTAAAGATTAAATTGTTGGAATTCAACTTTCTTGCCATTTAAACACCACTATGTATTTTGCTGTGATCAAATTGGTAGGAACGCATTTGTAAAATATATTTTAAACTAGGTTAAAACTAGGGGCCATACTCTGCTCTTGGTAACATTGTGTGTTTCTGGAATGGAGCCATTACCTGACTCAAGTGGATTGTAAGAGTGTGACTTCAAACATGTCAGTAGGAATGCTGTGCAGCATATTGATTTCTGATGGCGTAATGGGGGGTGACACTGATGCCAAGATAATGATTTCTTGTCTTTGACTTGGAGGATGGAAGGCCCACTCTTCTTGAAGATTCCAGAAAATAAAAAATACCTCCCAAACAGCCAAGATAGAAAACCAAAAACAACCCCCTCATTTGTTCAGATGTGGTGTATATATCATGCTAAAAGCTGAGCACTGGGTGAGAAGCAGTAAGCATACTAGATAGACTGTCGTCTCTTTCAGTTTCTTCAGTACCCTGACCTCCCATTCTTCACAAGATTCCTCTACATGTGATTTTCTGCTTGCTTTGGGTGGCAGTGAATTCTTTGGAGGAGAGCAAGGCTTTTGGGTCAAGTAAGCTCTGGCTGTTAAATATCTGTTGTTAAGTATCTTAAAAAAATATGTTATGGCTTGTGAAATACGGGTCGGGCATATCAATAGTTGCTTAAAAGGAAAAAAGGGAATGGGGCAAAACTGGCCTGACCATTTCATCTGAGTTCAAGCCTGCATCAGGGTTCTCATTGCACTAACTGCTTTAAGTGTACTAAGCATGATGAGAGCAGGATAATCATATCTGTGTTGCAGTAAGGGAAGTTGGAGTTGGGAAAAGTGCTGGAATTGACCTTGTTTTCAAGCTTGCAGCTAAATGAACCATTGCCAAATATATGGATATACTGTATATTTGGTACATCCAGCAATTGCTGCTCTGTGTTTGTCTGGTAAGAGAGGTATTTAGCTGCCCTTGAATACGTTGATCTGCAAATAATTGGCTAAGAATTCCAGCCCAGCAGTGTCCACGTTGGTAGTCCCTTCCATGCTCTGAGAGCAGATGTGGTAATTGGAAAATGTTTTCCTCGGTAACAGGGTCTGACACATGATCAGGATGCGGGTCCATTTGTTCAACCCTCTACTCACAATAGGATATGTAGGGCAACTTCAGCCCATCCCCAAAGGGCAGCTTTGTCAGAAGTATTCTGCCTGTGGTCTCACAGCCAGTCCATCCTTTAGCTGGCTGCTGACACTGTATCCCATAACACTCCTGGCACTCTAGTCTTTGCAGTAGTAATCCTGTGAGTGCTGGTAAATTGGCAGTTGTTTTTGCTGTTCTGGCAAATATAAGGCAGAATGGGAGATATCTATTAATGTTCGTGTGTCCAAGATTTAATCTATACTGTTTTTTTTAAAATAGTGTGGTTATCCCCAAAGAGTCAGTCTCACAAATAGGATTTTTTTAGAACTGAATTTGGCTTTAGGGCCACATAGCCACATCAACGTGCATTATGCTGCAGCTCGAAAGCAGATACAGGGTAAAGTTGAAGACAGAGGGAATGCCATATTGTCAGCAAGTGAAAATGCTTCTCTCTTCTTAAAAGATGGAAGAGGTATTTTCTGTAGTCTCTTGCTTCAACATCTTGTTAAGTGGTCTTTATGAACTGGGTACTGCATGTAGGAGCAGTATAAGAGCAACAGCAGTCCAAGAAAACTTGAATGTGGTTTGTCCACGTAGAGAGCAGAATGATAGTTTACTCCCTAATTACCACAGGTGCAGGAAGAGAGAGTGACTACAGTTCTCTCCTTTTAGCGAGGGAGAGGAGCTAACACAGACTGAGAACATGACATGATTTGTCTTCCAACAAGCCTTTCAGTGGCAATTTGTAGGACTTTCCAGCTATCTGGAACATGACTAGACCCAATCCACCTCTCAGTAGTTGGCCTTTGTAGTGTAGATGATGCATTCAGTTATTTTGTTTCTGTACTTCAAAACACTGTCCTCATTTTGATGTTCACTGGAAAATGTATAAAGTTTATAACACCTTACTGGATATCCAGATTTGAAATGTATAATTGATTTTATTTTTTTTTTTTTGCGGGGGGTTAAACTTGATATCCATGTGTGATTATAAGCAGATGTCTAGTGTTATAGAATGTAGGTAATGGGTAAATGCGTTATTAGTATTTATTACTCTGTTTTTTTAACCTGGAAAAAGTTGCTTCCTTACATTTTGTGGTTGAGTGGGAAGATATGGCAAATCATATCTCTGTTTTTTAAAAAGGACAATAATAACGTTGTTTGCTACTACTGGCCACCACTTGTAGAGATGTCAGTGAAAAATTATAGCAATTACTTCCACTAGTTTAAAAACTCTAAATCTGATAAACTTCTTGATTCTGTCTTCCTCTTCATGGGCATCTTAGCGAAGCCTTGACTGCTTTTTCCAAATGTTTGTATTTAATACGTTCTACAATTTTTTTATAAATAAAATTAAATGTTAATACCTGATCTGCGTTTGTATTTCTTGAAATCAATAATAATGTCCAGAAGGCTTCTTCTCACTGTTTGTATCCCTGCAGGTATAATAAGAGTACAAGACTAACTCATTTTGGTATTTAGATTACTTTTTTCTCCTGCACACGGACTTCTTGAAACTTCCCCTCTCTTCACCGAGTTTTTCCAGGTGAGTTCAAGAATCTTCACAAGAATCTCTTGATAGTCTCTCAAGAGGATGTTGGATGTTGCTGTCTTACTTATTGTTGCCAGCTCATCTTTGCAACAGGGTATGTGGTGAATCCAATTTTTTTATTATTTTGAAATACCTTCTTTTCTATAGCACACTGATTTAGGGCTTGATCAGCTGTAAAACTTACCTGGTTTTCAGACCGCCAGTGCTCAAGACTCTCAGGAGTGCTCTGTCAGAGGAAGCTGATGTAAGCAGCAGATGATGATTCTCAGGGGAAAAAATATTTAAAAACAGTTCAAGGGGGGAAATGCCCCATTGAAATTCCCACAGATAACACACTGAATTTCTGGTTTGACACTACCTCTGCTAAGAGGGTAATTCTGACATTTGGGCAATAAAAAAAAAAAAAGCCAAACAAACCAAAATGCCCACCAATCTGAAAATATGGTCAGTCATGCCTAAGTATCTCATGGCCAAATCTCATGTCCACTTTAGTCATTGCTGAAGGCTGAACTGTTCTTGCAGTGGGACTCCCTCATCATGAAAGCAAAGTTAGATGCTCAGGCACAGTGAGTTTTGAGTCTTTTCTTTTTGCCTTTTCCTTCCTCTCCCAGCACTTGTTAGTTTATATACTGGGAATGTGTGGCTGGTGTTTCCTAAGGGATCTTGGGGACTCAACTAATTAGTTGTAGCCTCCGCTAGAATAAAGTAAATGTGTCTGTGGATAGCTTTGAAAGTGATGGATGCACCTTGTTCATAATACGTTTCAGTTCATCTTGAGTGTAAATGGGATTTTATTAATGTTTCAGTCCTCTTCCTGTCTTTCTGTGAAAAGGCTTTAAAATTCAATGCAACCAGCTATATGACACTTGAATTAGTAGTGTAATTACCTCCTTTCTCCCACCTGTTTTCCATAGCAATGTCTTAGATACATGTGCTATAGCAATGATGAGACAGAAAACATGCCTAAAGTATAATCCCTTGTGATCTAGGAAAACCTTATAAGTTTTAGAGGAGGCTTTCCCCTACCCCTAAAGGAAAACAGCAGTTTCCAAATGAAAAATGCACTGCTGCTTTGTCTTCGTTTTGACCACTTAGTACTTTTCAAGGGTAATTTTTACCCAAATCACATGCAAAAATTGTCCTGCAGCCATGGTGCTGTATTACTGTTCCCAACTCTGTGTCTAGTTCCCTCCAATGTTACATGTAACTGTTGTGAGTTCTGGAAAGTGGCGTTCTGATCTCATTCCTGTAGTCCTGTCCCACCTTGCAGTTAACTGAGGGAACTAGAGGGCAAACCTGCATGTCTTTACATGTGCTCATAACCTGATGAAGAGTTATGGCTTTGCCAGCACATTATGACAGTCCTTCCATCTCCTCAAGAAGATTGTATTGAGAGAGGGAAAATGGTGATGATCTTTAGAAAATATTAGACAGCATGAGGAAGATGATGTTGCACTGTGCAGTGTTTCTGTAGATACCCCTGGAGACACAAAGCATGCCACAGGAACGGCTATTTTCACACTTTGTTCTCAGCACAGCTTTTAAACATGAGTCTTGTTTTCCACGTGCCCCAGCTCCTGTGCTTAACTAGTTCATTGCTGCTGTCCAGTATTATTATTCTGCCCTCAGCCAGGGCACACATTTCTCATTATACGTGTTTGAATGTGTGCTTTGCTCTAGTGAGTTACGCCAAGTGCAGTTTAACAGAAGTGTGTAGCTTGTGAGTACCAAGGTGACTTCCTGTAGTTTCTATGTAGTTTCTAGTGTAAATATTAAGAGTGGGCAGCTAATGAAGTGTGAGCGGGAGGTGCCTTTTTGCCACTGAGCAGCTGCATAGCTCAGTCCTTGTAGGAGACTCGGTTCTGCTCATGTGAGCCAAACACATCTGCAGTAAACTGGGAGTAAAACTCATTTTCAGACCATCTCAAAAAATGGGATTTTTCAGCCAGGCCTGCACCCAGTTTCCATTTCAGTTGAGACAATTATGAATATGCAGGTTTGTGGCCCCCATTATTTATTGAACAATGAATGGAGAGATCAGAACCAAGACATCGAAGCTACTTGAAGTGCACAGTGTTTTTAGGTTCATTGCTTGATGGGTTGTTATTCACACAGGCATTGGCAAAGCAGTGTTAGAGCTGGGCAATGGATTTACAAATGGGCCCTTTGAAAGTCTGAGTTCCCGTTCTCCCTCTTCCCTTACTTCCCTTCTTTCTCTGAAAGCAAGTGAGTTTTTATTTAATTTTTCAGATACAGGGGATGAAATTTTTGTTACAATTTATTGAATTTTTTCCCTTCCTCCCATCCTTTAACCTTTTTTTTTTCCTGTGTGTATGCAGGTGTTTTGTTTTGTTTTAATAACTGATATTTATCCCAAAACTCAGGGTGAGTGCCACAGTGTGGCTTGAAAACAATTTGTTTCCTGTAAATGTGTATTTATATTTCAAAAATGCTCATGTTGCTGATTTTATAATTGTGTTAATAACTATGCTTCTGGTGTTTGTGTATCTGTCCTGTTATGGTTGTGATGGTTGTTTGCCAAGCCTGACATGACTTCTGTTGGGTGTTGGCATGTTCTATGGCAGTCTGGCTCCTGTACAGCACTGGATGCTTTGGATAAGTAACACTGATCCGTGACAGTGTTAAACCTGATGGTAAAAAAATTAGAAAGGGATATTTAACTTTTTTTTTGTGCCAAAAAGCCATGTTTCATTGGTGGACCAGCTCCCTATGCAGGTTGCTGATTTCAAATATTTTACTTCATTCTCTCAATTCCTTTTATTTTAAGGTAATATGGGACTTTGTGGAAAGTTTCTAAATAGGGAAGAACTCTGCCCTGTTCTTAGAGGAAATATGTTGAAGGTGTCAGAATTATGTGCATGCATGCTCACTGCATATTTTTCCAAGAACTGCATTTTGGAAGTCTTTGCAAGTTAAGTCTGCAACATGTAGCTTTCCCAGAAAAAAAACCACTTATGAAATCCCTCAGTGTCTCAAAAGAAGAAAAGAGAAAAGCGGACAAAAATTTGCATTTCTGCATATCTTGGAGGCTGTGCAATTATAACTCTGCTGTTTCTCAGCTGGGTAAGGCCATATTACTCTCAGGTTAACCATCAATAGCAGCTTTGAGGGAGGAAAGGGAAAAGGTATACCCACCAGTGTATATTAATGTAATATAGTAACTCATTACAAGTGCACTCTGGGCTTTGCTGTCACTGAAAGGAGCTTAAATACTCCTTCTCCTCCTTAACCGTATTTTCTTTTCTTGTAGATGTGACCTTAATTTCCCTGTGTTGGTCACCTTACATCAATGTTTGCCTTGGCAGATCTCACATATTTCTAGGTTGCCTTTTCTCCCTTAGAATTATACCTCCCTGACAATGAACATAAATTTTAAAAATAGCATAGAAAGGGTTACAAGAACACCTCTGATGCAGTAAGACAGGCTAGAAATTTCCACAGTCCTTTTTGAAGAAAAGAACTTGTGGGTTTGACTTGTCAAGAAGGCATACTGAGTCAGTCACCTTTGTCCAATCCATAAAATACTGGACTGAGAAGCATTTGGGATTCTGATACTAAATCTCCTGCAACTTGCTGTGTGACTTAGCAAGTTGTTTCAGTCTGGTTTGCTTAATTTTTCTAATAAAATCAGGAAGCAGTGTTATGACTTTTCCTGGGTACAGCTCTGAGAAGCCCCTGATGAAAAGCACTGCATCAGTGTTGGTTGTGCATTGTTAAATGAAGTATCTACCCTCTATCTAAGGGATGTTAAAATATGTTTGTAACAGATTCTGAAGCAGGGCAAGAAGCTGTGGTGGCTTCTTGCTTTTTGTCAACATCTTCATCCCACCTGCATATGAAGTTCTGTGCTGCACAGGATGGTAGTTGGATGTTGATGTGAGTAGGGAAAATTTGAGGTCTTATTCCTCCAGCTTCCATCTGCTGTATTTAAACATGAATCACATAAAGTGAAGATGTCATAATTTCTAGATGGAAAAAAATGGAGTGAAGTGGAAGAGGTCCACAGCAATTCTGGTTGTGACTGCCCTAGATGAAAGTCATCCCACTAGTACATTGGTTGAACATAAAATCTCAGGTAAAAATTAAATGGTAGGGATATGTAGTATGCCTGTGATTTCAGGAGTGATGGGGGTGGGGTGGGCGGCAAGCAGAGGAAGAATAGCATATGGTAAAAAATTAAAGCATTGGAATACCTAAGGATAACGTGGTTAAAGCTGCTGATGCATGTGCTGAAATACATTCTGTGCGCTCCAGGAAAAAGTCTGCAGGCAAAAAAAAAAAATGGGCCAGGGGGAATTCTCCAATATTTCCTATACTTTGGATATATGGTTATGATGATAGAAAAAAAGTGTTTCCCTGATTTTGCTCTAGGCTTGTTCTGGGAAAAAAGTGCATATGGTGAATACTGTGATGAATACATCTAATAAAAGCTGTTATGGCAGATGAGAACTGGAGGACGAACAAAAATTAGTGCCTCCTTCGCCAAGCTGCTGCTGCTACTTTTGGACTTTTGTTTCATGGAAGACATGAATTTGATTCATTTCCAAAGACAGCTTGGAAACTCCAGGCAGCAGAGCAAGGGACTCTCCCTTGACTTAGCTGTTTTTCTCTGAATGCATTGCACTTGTGTGAAATGCAGTCAGTGCTGCTTCTCAGGTCATTTCTGAGGGAAGGTCACTGCGTGGGGACTGACCCTCCAATCATCAGTTTGAGGGATCTGGGGGTCTCGGTGCCTTGCAACATTGAACTCCGTGCAGTGTTGGGGAACTTGCAGCACCTGCTGTGGGCACCGTGGTTA